TTTTGTGACTGGTGCCTAAAGTTCTTTGTAAAGTCCAGCTGTTCATATCCAAATTTATTTTATTAAAAACCCAAAATTAATTGTCTGTCAAAATATAAAGAGAGAGAAAATTTGTTCTCTTTTGGGTCATGCACAAATACTCCTTTTGTTTCAATTAAATAGCCAAATTGAAGAATGGCTGAGTGCATCCTGAGATACAATGCCCCCAAAACTCTATCAGAAAAAAAAATTGATTGTGTTTGTAAAGTAAAACTTAAGCTCAAATAGTGGCATTGATTGACCCAATCAAGTGTGTGGCACTGATATTACCCAATTGGGTTTGGCCTCAGCTAGAGAACTGACCCATCAGAGAAGTGATATTTTAACTGGTAACACCTGTTTCAGTTCACTATAAAAACTGATCTGTACTTGTGTGATTGTACAGTAATCACGATATGAGAAGAGTTCCAGATCCTGAGATGGGGCGAGCATGACATTGGCAGAACTAGAACACTAGATTTCAAAAAGGCAGATTTCAACCGACTCAAGAACTTAATAGGCATGGTGCTGTGGAAAGACAAACTGAAGGATAAAGGTGCCCAGGAGGGTTGGAAGTTTCTAAAGGATGCAGTATTGCAAGCCCAACAAGAAACTGTTCCAACAGGGTGAAAGCACAAAAATAGTAAGAGACCCATGTGGCTGCACGAGGAGTTTCTAGGATGTTTTGAATGAAAAAAGAAAACATACAGGAAATGGAAAAATGGGTTGGTCACCAAGGAAGTATACCAGAAAATACCAAGAACCTGCAGGGATGACATCAGGAAGGCAAAGATAAAGAATGAGCTGTACCTCACAAGGAAGGCTAAAGTCAACAAAAAGAAATTCTAAGTATGTTGAAAAAGCAGAACCTGGGAAACTACAGACTATTTAGCCTTACCTCAGTACCTGGGAAGTTACTGAAGCATAACCTAAGGAAGTCCATTTGCAAGCATCTGAAGGAGGAAAGATTGATCACAAGCTTGAATTTATTATGAACAAATTGTGTCAAACTCAGTCTTCTTTGACAAAGTAACTACTTGGGTGAATGAAGGGAAGGCAGTGGATACAGTATATCTGGACTTCAGCAGGCTTTGGATAAGGTCCTGCATGACTGTCATAAAGAAATAGGGAAACTGGGCTAGACAAAATGACTGTAAGGTGGCTCAGTAGCCACAAGCAAAAGGTAACTGTATCCTATAAATGGATCCATGTCAGAACAGCAAGAGGTTTGGAGTGGAGTCCCACAAGGGGCTGTTCTGGACCTAGTACTTCTCAACGTGTTTATTATTTGGATGCTAGCATAGAAAGTTTATTGAGGAAGGTTACAGATGACACAAAACTAAGAAGGATTATGAACACATTGGAGGACAGGAGCATAATTCAGAAGGAAGCTAATAAAATGAAGTTCAATGCTGACAAATGCAAGGTGCTGCACCTCAGGAAAATAACTGAAAACACAAATACCAAATGGTATCACCCGTCCAGGTGTCTCCCACTACAGGGGATCGGGGAGTCTTGCTAGATCACAGACTTAACCTAAATCTGCAGTGATGCTGCACAAAAGGCAGTTAGGGGATGCATCAATAGAAGTATTAGGCATAAAATGTTTAATAGTAATAGTGCCTCTCTACTCAGCACTGATTAGGCCTCATCTAGAGTATTGTGTACATTTTGGGGCTCCACATTTTTTTTTAAATGACATGGAGAAGTTAGAGAGGGTCCAGAGACCGCAAACAAAAATGATAAAGGGCTTACAAGGCAAAATCATGAGAAGAGGTTGAAGAAATAAACGTTCAGACAGGACCCAGAGACAGCAGTCTTCAAATCCTTGAAGAGCTGTCATAAAGCAGAGGGAGAACATGTTTTATTTCTTGCTACAGATAGTAGGACATGGACTAATGGCTTGAAGTTGGAGGAAAATAGGCTTAAATTGGATATCAGGAAGACATCCTTCAGTTAGAAGAGTGAGGTAGTGGACAAGACTGCCTAGGCAAACTGCAGGCTCTCCATCACTGGAGGAGTTCAAGAGGTTGGACAGCCACTGGTCAGGGATGATCTAGGCATAGCTAGACCTATGTTCTACTATAGGTATTTCCCATGCTTGTAGGCTTTGCTGGTTGCCACATGGGGTGGGGAAGGAATGTTTTCCCTCTCCTGCTGCTGTGTCAGGAAGATTGTTTTAGCTTCCTCAGAAGTATTGGGTATTGGCTGCAGCCAAGGCTGGAGACTTTGACTGGGGTGTGCTACTGCTCCTGTTGGGACTTAAAACCAGAGGTTCCTGGCTGGAGGGTCTCGCCTCGCCATTCAGGATCAGACCAATCACCATACTTGGAGGCAGGAAGGAGTCTTACCCAAGATCAGATTGGCATGGACTATAGTGAATTTTGCCTTCCTGTGGCAGAGTATGACCCTCTTAGATCTCATGATCAAATTTTAACAACTTTTGAAACAGCAAGTCATTGGCCATCATGGTCCCCCTACTTTATCTATGGCTGGTTAGGGTGTTATGCCTCATGGTTGTGTCAGGGTTGACAGTATAGTTTTGCTGAGATTAAACTAGGGGTAGACATTGCAAGCTCTGGCACATAAAGAGGTATTTGCTTGGTACATGCCCCTCAGGGCACATGCTTGGTACTTGCCTCTCAGGGCAGATGGCAGGTAAGGGGCTGGGGCTTTACTGCTACAATGAGCAAGCCCTTTGTAAGATGTTGGTGTGCCTGGTGCAGGAACCACAAGTTGAGATTTCTCTCAACTCCAGGAATCAAAGCCAAATCCTCTGCTTGCAAAACTACTCTGCACTTCATCCTGTGCACAGCAGGGCCTTTGCCCATTTGCTGGAACCGCAGTAGGATTCTTTTCAAAAGAATGAGCAGGGTACAAAGTATTAAGGAGGGGCAGTACCTCAGGACCATACCCTAATACTGGGTGTGCGCAAGATCTTCTATCAGCCCATTTAGTGATTTGTCTAAGCAACAAAACCCAACATGGAGTGTGTGGAATAAGACTTATAAAGGAAATAACCAATTACTGTCACAAAAGTGACACTGCAGATGAGACCACAAATCCTCACCATGATAGACTGATCTACAAGCAGTGAGTACAGCAGTACGCTTAGTAGCCTGGGTTTGTGTTAGGAACAGGTATGTAAGGCTAAGATCCAAAAAGAGTGGAAAGCAGGACGTGGGAGAGGTAGGATGATTATATATTGAGCTGAACTTGGTATTTTATAACCTCAAAAGCTACTGTTTCAAGCTATAATTGCCCGAAGAATAAAAACAGGTTACTCCCCATTTGTACAAGTCTGCTTTGCTAAAAAGCAGACAAGCCCCCCACACACCCCCCCATACCCTCATCCCCACAAATTTGCTTCTTGTTTACCTCCTGGACCATCACAGCTATTACACTCCCAACTCTACTACAGAGGCATGAATACAAAAGTCATAGTACAGAAGCTTAATGCCCTTCTCCACAGTATTAAGACATTGCACGAAGGGAAAAAAAAAAAAAAGCTGAGAGTAAAGAGATTACAGTTCAAGATAATGGGTGAAACTCTAATCCTACTGAAGTCAGAAGTTTTCTACCTCTCTTGTATATTGATATGCTATTTTATGAGGCAACTTTACTAAGAGGAGTCAAGATTGTTCTTATGCTATAATAAACTAATAAGATATTTAAATCAGTACATGAGCTACACATCTTAAAGCAGGACTGGTTGAGAAGAGGCCAGACAAGGCCCACAGACCAGCCCCACACAACGAAGCTAGCATGCCCCCCGACTGGCCTCACATACAGCACACAAGCTGTCTCCAGCCCCACACAGCCAGGCTGGCCCTGTGCTGGATTTGGCATGTAGAGCTGGGTTGAGGGCCTGGTCTGGATTGGTCCAATGCAGGGCTGGACTGGCCCTGTGGCCACAGGCAGCACACCCCCCCAGAGTGACCTCATGTGCAGCCCCACGTAGAGCCCACAGGCTCTGCTGGCCCAGCCTGCAGGGTATATTTTTGACATCACTTTCCTTTAAAAGGGAAAAGGGCACAGGTTTCAGAGAGGAATTATATTAAACCATTTGCATCTTAATCCTTCAAAAGCAAATTAGGAAAGCATGAAACAATTAATGGCATTCTACTGCTGTGATCAGCAAGCAGTAAGATAACATTATGTAAACAAGCCTAGTAGTTCTAGGATGTTCAAAGTTTTAGTTTTGAGAAGCATGAATGTTCCTGTTCCTCTTGTTAACAGTGGTGTGAATCACAGCAACTAAAAAAAATATTAAAGTATTCAGAGAAAGGAAACATATCTACTTTAAGATTAGCACTGTAACAGACAAATTGGTCCTTCACATATCAACTCCAATAGGCTTCCAAGGATTTCTTTCAAGAGTGAGCAGTGACACAAGTCTTCCTAGGAAAGACCAAAATGGGTATTTGAAGAATCACTGAATCATACACTTGTTTACAGTATGTGAGGTCATTTACTCTACCAGGATCAAAGCCTTATTCTCAGAGCCAGGGGGACATCATTTAACAGTTAAAGCCAATGCCTTCTTCCTCTTTTAGTTAAGGCTCCATATTCCTTTTCCTATGTCAACTTTATATACCTCACTTGCTTTAGAGGATAAATTCCATAGAAAGGAATTACTTGGAATCCTGTAAAGTTACTACATGTATCTAGGGCTATACATCAAATAATAATAATAAAAAGCTTTATCTCAATGTTTAAGCTGCTAACTTAAAAGAATGCCTGCCCCCTCCCAAAACAAACCAACCAACCACAAAAAAAGATAGCCACTTGCACTTTAGGACGACCAAACACAGAGCTCCAGGCAAAACAAGCCTGTAGGCATAGACTAAGCATCTGAGATCACACATAATATTTTACCCTGGGACAGGAGAAAAAGAAAAGGAACTGTATCAGTATGAGTTCTAGCACAGGACGGATAAATGACACCCTGTATTGTTTTATTTAGCTATGAAGACACCAGGTGATAAATCAAGCTTCATTGCTGTTTATTTTAAATATTGTACTTCAATCACGTAGCATTTAGGTGTTAGCCACTCTAACTAACCACCCGCTTCTATAAGCGGCCAAAGTGGCTGGCAAGTCACATTAACCATTTGTTACATGTTCAACAGTCTTCCCCAACTTTGGATGGTTCTTTGTGTTTGCTTGTCTTTTTGTTTTTGCTTTTAACGAGAACAGTCTAGAATCAAGCCTTTTGTCCCTCTAAGATCACAGCAAAGGTATCGGAAGCTCCTCAGCAAGCCCATCTCTTTGCAGGCTGTTTCTCTGAGCCCCGGGAGGACCACTGCATCTCCAACTTCCCTTAAATCAAACCTGGGTCTGTCCAAAAAGAGAGCTGAACACTTTAAGCCGCTTTGGGCGCTCTGTAAAAAGCAAATCCCGGGGTCAGCTATAAAAGAGTAGAAAGGATTGTGGATACAAAACGCATAACAAGTCCATGGCGCCCAGCCAGGCCTCAAAGCTGGGCGAGAAGGTTAAAAAAAAGGAAGAAAGAAAGAGGTTTTGCACCATCCCCACTACCCCTGGTCCTGCTTCCTGAGGCAACAAACATCCTTGGTCAAAAGCTTCAGCCAGAGGAGCCGAGTCCGGCCACCCTGAGCACATCCCAGTGCAGCTGGGCAGGCGCTGCCAGCGGCTCCTCGGTTAAGTCCCCGCCAGGCCGCGGCCCCAGGCTCGGGGGGGGTGGGGGGTCTCTAAAGTGCAGCAGGACGCGGCGCAGGCGGGGCCGTGTGAACAGGTGCGCGGAGCTCGTCCCGTCCGGTCCCGGCGCTCAGCACCGCGCCATGGGCAGGCGGCGGAGCCGCACCACGGGCGACAGGTCCACGCGCAGGATGCGCTGCGCCTGTCTCCGCGCCGCCGCCAGGCTCCGCCGGCCCCACACGCTGCCCCGCACGCGGATGCTGCAGGGGAAGGCGGGAGGACGCGGCGTGGCCGCCGCC